ACTCATCTAGGTAATAAAAATGCGACTTTATTTTTTGCTAAGCATATTTTTATGTTACAATTTATATCTTGCGGTAGCACCGCAAACAAACGCTTATGCCCAAATTTCATTCATTGGATGACGAACCTTAGTACTATTAACAATTAACACAATAGATTTGAACCTCATCATATCCATAATTAGACCACGAGTGTCCAGCCTTGGACTTAGATCCAAGGAAATAACTTGGTAATCTCATCAACCGTTGTGAAGAGTCCTCAGGAATAGGCAATGACTTGGCTGAGTTTGCCATTTCTGACGTCAATGACCGACTGCTACTTACCCTGAGGTGGGCGGCGTGCTCGTCTGCCTACAACATCTATAAAAAAATATTTAAAAAAATATAATTTTATCAGTAAAGCTCTATCGGAACTCTGGCTGAGAGCTTTCCTGATTTACAGATAAGCTAGCGTTCAACAAAAGCTTACTTATCTAATCTTTCACCTGACGCCACGAAATACAGGGTGGGCAAATTTCAGGTTAGGAAGTAAATTGACTTAAAACACACTTTTTTTCGCCAAATTCAGTTTTATTTTATATATATTGGTATAAACCAATGTAAACTAGAATTATGGGAATTAATGATGGAATATGATTTCTGGCAAATGTCCACATCTAGCACGTCGACACACGTCCGTTCTTTTCACAAAATTTTGAACCACATTTTGCAACAGAGATTCGCTTATCTCGTCAATGAAGCGCCGAATTTCATCTTTCCGAGCGTCAGTTGTTTGTGGTTTGTTCACGTAAGCCCGCTCTTTCAAATGGCCCCAGAGAAAATAATCCAGCGGCGATAAATCGAAGGTGGCCAATTGACATCGCCAAATCGAGAAATTACGCGACCGGGAAATATCTCATGCAGTAACTGAATTGTTTGGCCGGCTGTGTGGCTTGTGGCGCCGTTTTGTTGGAACGAAAGGTCACTGATGTCAACATTAGCTAATTGTCGCCACAAAAAATCGGTTATCATGGTTTGGTAGCGCAGAGAATTCACGGTGATGGCGTTTTGTTGCTCATTTACGAAAAAATACGAGCCAATGATTCCGCCTGACCACAAACCGCACCATACGGTCACTTTATTTGGATGTAATCGTTTTTCGAGGAGTGTTTGTGGATTTTGTGAGCCTCGTATGCGACAATTTTGTTTGTTTACATAACCGCCTAATTGAAAATGAGCATCATCACTAAACATGATTTTGTTAAAAAAACCGTTGTTTTCGTTCAATCAGCCAATTCACAAACGTTCGACGCAAGCAATGGTCGGCCGGCTTTAATTCTTGAACAAGTTGAACTTTATAAGCGTGCAGATGAAGATCTTTATGCAAAATGTTGCACAAAGTGCCTCTGGTGATGGCCAATTGTTGCGAACGTCGACGCGTTGATGTTCCAGGCTCATTATCAACACTTTGCTGTGTAGCGGCTATGTTTGCATCAGTACGGCCACTACGAGCGTATTGTTTTGGTCTATTGTCATCAACAGTACCGCGAGCCTCAAATTTAGTAATTAAATTACGCACAGCTGTCTCAGAAGGAGCCTGATTACGAGGAAAAGCTGCTCGAATTTCACGAAGTGATACAGTAAAATTTTCACCATTTTGATAGTAAATTTTCACAATTAAAATTCTATGTTCAAGAGTGTAGCGTTCCATGGTTAAAATTTCCCGACTTTTAATTAAACAAATGTTAAAGAATGACAGCTCAATCCTTGAAATTTCGTCGTTTAACAGCCAATTTACTTCCTAACCTCAAATTTGCCCACCCTTTATTTAACCTGAATAGAATTCGCAAGGTTTTTTTTTCATTCCATGTCTTCATGACCTCATTTTCATTCCTTAAATCATTCTTAAGATCAAGAAGGCTGGTATAACCGTATCGAGCGATGCGATGACCGTGCTCAAACCCCGAAATCACTTTTGGCTCTGCCACGAAGCCATCACGCGTTGTGTCTTTCCATGTGCGTTCAGCTGTCGTACCCCAAACTTCAAGACAAACTCCGCCTTAACATTAGCTGCGCAGTGAGCTAGTCATCTTATCTTGTACAATATAAAACTCAATATTACACAAAATAAAATACACCATAAAGAAATTTCATTGTCAACATTGACTGCGAATGGTCAATATCGAGCAATCCCTCCCGATCCACTAACGGTGCTTTTAGGTACCCCAAGCACCAGCCATCGTTGTCGTCGAACCCGTCGCTTGCGACGAACGGCTCGGCGAGTATATTAATCCACAGACATAGCCCACTGAGTTTCTCGCCGGATCATCTCAGTGGGTCGCGTTTCCGATCCGGTGGTAGATTCTGCGAAGCACAGCTGTTGCTAGGGTTCGTGTTAACAACATCGTCAGGCTTGAGCCCCGTGAGCTCACCTACTAGTTAAGGTTATGCTGATATGGCCTCTCTAGACAATCAGCTTAGGTAGGAAAAAGGAAGAAAAAAAAATCGAGCTAACGAAAGTGAAAGGTAATTTTATTCTGCTAGTATAGGATTACTGTTGTTCGTTTTAAGCGCGTGGGACGGTGAACACAGTAAAAATCGCGTTACTACTAATTACTTCATTAATAATAATGCTGTAAAGCGCTGGGGTTCGTGATAAATAAAATTCTACCGAATTACAAGGTATCACTGTAAGTGTATTAGCACTTAGAACACACTTAAAACACTTCACAAACACTTTAAAATTCTCAATCGGCTTCTTCCGCTTCGCTTCAGGTGATCCGTTCGCTGTTTCGCTTCGAGTAGTTCCGATTACTGACTGCGTGCCATCCCTGCAACACTTTTATAGCCGATATCACATCCCTAGAATTATCGAGAATATTCCACATAAGTCGAGTATTGTGTGTTTCCGCTATCTGAAAATAGATGGCGTTGTACTTCTCGAGCGTTCTAAATGTTACTAGATCCTACGGTATTAGTTCGCCTATTCGGCGATAGATGGCGTTACTCTTACCGGTGTAACAATACACATATACACATAATAATTTCAAAACACTTAATATAGTTAGCTTGATAATAATATGTCGGTAGTGTTAGTGTTTGATCCAGTTGCTTGTTCGATTTGTTTTGATTTAAAATTACGTCACTTGTAATGTATTCGCATACAGTTTTGGGAGCTGCTCTTTGAGATTGCCTTTATTATTTTTAAATCGTATCTTTTTCAGTTTACGCGTTCAATAACAACGCATCTCAAAACAAAAAAATGTACCTCGTAAAAATCGCAACAATCTTCCTCCTCGCAAAAACATACTTATGCCAAGACATTAACAAATACTTTGAAAGAATCAATGAGGAATATAGAAAACTCAATTCGGTTTCCGCTGAAATATCCTGGGACTCAGCAGTCGATCCAAACGATGTAAAACCACTAAAGAAATCCGCCATATACCAGAAAACGCTTATTTTATGGCAACAAAAACACTGCGAAGAGATGGCAGCACTAGTGAACCGTCATTTGCTAAACGACACTCTGCGAAGGCAGACGTATTTGTTGTGCAGAGGACCGAAATATACTTATCAGGAGGCCAGGTATGGATTAATTTTCCACTTGTTGCATGGTAAAATTTCATTGAAAATTCTAATGATACTACGACGGTTAAAGTTAAAAAACGTAAAGTAAAAGTTAATATAATATGTATAATAAATTAAAAAAACAAAATGTGTGCAATTCACACGTGGTAGAAGTGAAACCTTCCAAAATTAAAATACAATTATCCTAAACGTCTTAAGTATATGTAAAAATTTGTCATTAGTAAATAATTGTAAGGTAGCGCCCTCTGTGAATTGATATTTTAATTTCACGTATAATCCTAAATTAAAATTCACTACAAGAGCTTTCATACACACGTTAGTATTANTCACACGTGGTAGAAGTGAAACCTTCCAAAATTAAAATACAATTATCCTAAACGTCTTAAGTATATGTAAAAATTTGTCATTAGTAAATAATTGTAAGGTAGCGCCCTCTGTGAATTGATATTTTAATTTCACGTATAATCCTAAATTAAAATTCACTACAAGAGCTTTCATACACACGTTAGTATTAAAAAATCTCACAGATTTTGTATTTGTGTCTCTTACCTGTCGTTTTTTCCGTTGCATCCGGTTTGAAATCACAACGATTCTAAAGAAGTTTTCACTTCAATATATCCTACAATTGACGTATTAATGGTTCCGTAATTAGTTCACAAAATTGACAAAAGTTTCTTAAATTTAATTAGACATTTAATACACACACAAAAATCATTATTTGTACTCAAACAGTTGAAGTACTTAATATCATATGTTCAAAGGAACATACGTCATCAGTAATATAGATAATGCTCACACAGATTTGTTTCCAAATTTTATGAATTTAATTTTCTGCAACTTTAAGGATACATTCAAATTGTTATCTGTCATAATCAGGCATGCAAGTAAACTGAGACAACACGACATAGTGACTATAAATTTCTACACTAGCTTTGACCAGTCAATTGGCGTTGTTTTGTGGGATTTCACGCATTTTGGGCTTTTTTGGGCCAGAAGGAATTCTGTTTGATGATGGGTAGAACCGAATAAAATTATATATCGCTCAAAACCTGCTTTCGAAGCTCAGTCAAGATGAATTTCCGTGGAGCTAAAAGCATATGTTTACGCATGCTAAAAGAATCGGACAATTGACAAATTTACTTACTGGTGGTAGGACCTCATTTGAGTCCGCACGGGTAGGTACCACCACCCCGCCTATTTCTGCCGTGAAGCAGTAATGCGTTTCGGCTTGAAGGGTGGGGCAGCCGTTGTAACTATACTGAGACCTTAGAACTTATATCTCAAGGTATGTGGCGCATTTGCGTTGTAAATGTCTATGGGCTCCAGTAACCACTTAACACCAAATGGGCTGTGAACTCGTCCTATCTAAGCAATAAAAAAAAACTTTTTTTTTTAGACGAACAAGCTACTTATACGAAAAACTACAATCAAGGTATACGGAAGCCGTAATATGTATACCGAATCCGAAAAACATATTAATTAACAACACACAAGACGCTGAACAAGCTGTAAACGATTATATTAATGGAGTTAAAAGAACAAGTGCAACAGAAGATGATACAGCAGTGCAATTGGCTATTGAAATAGCAGCTACCGAAAACCCTGGAGGCACCGATGTTTTGTGCTTTAAAGGAGAAGATGATTTTGACAAATTAATGAGTACATCAAGGAATGAACGTGTTTTGAAATGGACTTGGATGGCTTGGCGGGAGGCGGTGTGTCGGACAATGGGGGCGCCTTATAAAGAACTGGTTGAAATTGAAAATGCAGCTGCCAGAAGGAACGGTAAGGGATTATATTACGCTACGTCTTGGATTGCAAACATTTCGGACCGCTGAGACATCTTAACGGTTCCTCCTGATCTAATCTCACGACTTTTAAGCGCTATTGGTAGCGTAGGTAAGAAGATAGAAGAGCTCGATGTGAGACTTAACCCATAGATACAATCCGGTGAGTTTCTCGCCGGATATTCTCAGTAAGCGGTAATTCCGATCCGACGGTAGATGCATTCGCAGCTACTCTTGAGCTGTTAGGCCTTCTCCAAAGGTGCTCGGGCAGCAATTAGCGAACCATCCCCTCAGGACTGAGCCATTGAGTTCACCTGACTGTTCTGGTGAAGCCGGAAAGGTCTTCGGACGGCCAATCAATAAAAAAAATTGAGGTGGTTATAAATTCAATTGAATCTTTTTTATGTCTGTAAGTTACGTTATAGATCTATTCTAAAACTGATTCGAAATTATTTTTTTATTTATAAGCTGGTGCCTTTTCATTTGGAGCAATTTTATAAAAAAAAATTATTGTTAACATTCAATCTAGTTTACTTTGTAATCATTCATCCCTAAGAAAATAATTAATACTAGCGACCCGCCCTCGCTTCGCTTCGGAAACATTAAAACACACATGAAACCAAAAAAATAAATTACAAAAAAAAAAAAAAAAAAAAAAAAAAAAAAAAAAGTAGCCTATGTTCATCAGGGACAATGTCGGCTTCTAATGGAAAAAGAATTTTTCAAATCGGTCCAGTAGTTTCGGAGCCTATTCGAAACAAACAAACAAACAAATCTTTCCTCTTTATAATATTAGTATAGATATAGATGAATCAAGTAAATACCTTTAGATTAAAACACGTTAAGAACATTTCACTAATAAATGCGCCTACAATAAATTTGCCATTATGCCCAGAATTTCGCTCATTTCTATGAAAACTCAAGCTACACTTTGTACATACGATACATACATTGTTAATATCTATATATTAATACGTGAAGCAAAAACTTTGTACACGTCCTTACGGATCCATCAGATCCAATAACCTTTGCATTAGACGCCTTCAGCTCTAGCACTAGGAGCAGGCTTAGGGACCCTGGTAACCGTACTCGTCGAACTCGACAAAGAGTTCGCCGTGCAACCTAACCCATGAATCAGCTCGCAGAGTTTCTCGCCGGATCTTCTCAGCGGGTCGCGATTCCGATCCGGTAGTAGATTCATTCGCGAAGCAGCTGCTCTTGAGTTGTTAGGTCTCCTTCGGAGGCGCTCAAGTAGCTGTTAGCAAATCCCACCCCTTCTGGCTGAGCCTTTGCTCGCCCACCTGTCCTGGTGAAACTGGAAAGGCCTCCGGGCCACCAGTAATAATTCAATCATAATAAATAAAAAACTTTGTACCCCTTTTTACGAAAATTGCGCAGACGGAGGAGTATGAAATTTCCCACACTTATAGAGAATATAGAGAGGGAGTGCAGAATGTTAAAATTTTTGTAAACTATGCATAAGGAATACATTAAATCAATAAGAAAAAACATTACACACACTACCATGTATTTGACACGCACACGCATGCATACTATTTGTTTATTGTCAGACTTTTCTTATTGCTTATAGTCTGTGGTCAAATTGAAAATAGATTAAATATTGTTTGTTTATAATAAAAATATTGTTTATTAATATTTGTCTAAAGTGTAGTCTTGGCAAAATCTGTGATTATAGAAGTATAATATCTTTGACAGTAGAATCATAATAGTGTACAAACTTATAATTTCAATTAATTATAGTCGAATTTCGACTACAGGGGGAGTACTAGTTTTATTTAAATGCCCGTATGCATGACGTTTCAGGGTATAAAGACATCGGCGAGTCCTGGAGAGAGGAACAAGAAATTCCAAATTTAAAAAGTTTTTGTCGTCGCCTATACAAAAGCATAAGACCTTTATACAGGGTGCTGCATGGCATCACGAGGTTCTTCCTTAGAAGACATTACGGGGCAATTGTAGAAGAGACCGGGCCAATACCGGCTCATTTATTGGGTACGTATTATTTAAGAGCTTGTCTGAATGAGAATCAGGAATGAGGTTAGTCGACGGAGGATTGAAGTCATCCATATAGATCATAGAGTACGCAAGCTGAAGTGGTAGTGAGTTGGACAGGCCGTAAAACTGGCGATCACTGAAGCAGACGTGTTTCCAAGTGGAAACCGCGCGTTGGCAACAAAGGTCGTACCTCGGCTAACTGGTGCGATGACCTTCGAAGGGTGGTCGGCAAGAAATGGCTTAGGAGAAATAAATACCGGGATCAGGACAACTGTGGGCTGATGATAATGATCATTATTTACGGGCATTGTTACATTACATTCTGGGAATTGAGATGAAACTTATTAGGAAACATAACCTATACAGGCCTGCATTTTATCTGCTTATACTATTTGCAATGGATGTATCTTCTTATGATATTTGCAATTAATTAAGAGCGTCCTTTTCTGCTCCCTCCTGTATAAAAAATGCCTGTTACGCATTTTTTTATGTCATGTCTCATCGGAAATTAGTATAGGGGTGAAATTTTAATTCCTCCTCCGTGCGTCGTATTCCTCAGTTCTGAGGGTCGTGACCTTTACTGAGCACTATTGTTAGGACTATGTTCCTCCATTCACTTCTGTCCTCCACGCAGTGGATAGCGACATTGATGCTGGATTCCAAAGTCGTCTTAATCTGATCGGACCAGCGCATGGGACTACGCCTCCTAGGCCTCTTTCCTTCCACTTTGCCGTTGATGAGAAGTCTTTCGAGATAGTCACCCTTTTTTCCTCACAACGTGACCGAAAAACTCTAAAATCCTACGTAGGCAAATGGTGGAGAGTCTTAAGGAGATGCCTAGTTCTTCCATGATTGATAAATTTTAATTAAGTCCATTAAAATAGTGCGATCTCGTAAATATTATAGTGCTTTTGATGCCAATCAATGGTTTTAGTCTCTAAAAAGGGTTTCATCTAGTTGTATTAGTAGTAATAAAAGAGTGGCCACTCAAGAGAGAGTAGTTAGGATTGAAATAACATTAACAAAAGGGCAATAGATCAACGATAACTTCCAAGAAAAATTCCGTTCCTATATTCGTTCTATTATCCAAAAAAATAATTTTAAAAAACATTAAATAAAGAAACAAAAGGTATAACCACTTAAACTTTGGATTGACTAAGATTTAAATTAATTCAATTACAGGAAATCTCTGGTCACAGAATTGGGAGCCTTTAACGGATCTAATAATAAAAAACACTTTGAATTTAGACGAACGCATACGAAGATCTAACTGGACCGTTCTGCATATGGTGAGGATAAAAACTAGAAGCTGATTAACACAATACCTTTTTTTTATTGCCTTTGTAGGCAGACAAGTATACGGCACACCTGATGATGAGTGGTTACCGTCGCCCATGGACGTCAACAATGCCAGGGGCAGAGCCAAGGCACTACCTACAGTATAATACTCTCCACAAGCCTCGTTTGCAGAACGATATATCCTAGCGCTCGGGAAACATTGTGAAGGGGAACTCATTCCAAAGTCGGATAGTACGTGGAAAAAAGATCTCTGGAAACGCACTGTGGATGAACTCTACTCCGGTGGCGGGCGGTGCGATGGTAAAAACGAGATGATGGTATCATCTCAAACAATTCCTCAGAGCATTCTCCATAGAACAAACGGTACAAAATACAGAGGGAACTGAAGTCCCTCCGCAAATCCAGAGGTTCCAAACGATCCGTGAGAATGGGATTATCGACAATCCGAACGGTTCTCTTCTCTATGGAGTCAAATGGGAGTAACTGGTATTTGGGAGTACCGCCCCAGAGGTGGGAGCAGTACTTCACGCGAGACGCGACCTGTGCTTTGTAAAGCAAAATTCTTTGTCCAGGCATGAAATACCGCTTCGCTCTGTTGAGGACTCCCCGTATTTTTGTCGGCAACTTGGCTTGGCCCTCCAAATAACTCCGAAACTGGACATCGCTCGAAATGTCGACACACTGTGTATAGCAGACCTCCAGCAAAGAGCTATCACACTGGGGGATGTTCAGTGGTGTGGCACCCCCGTTATGCATAGTCGAGTTTGGGCAAAGATTTCGACCAGAAGGTCAGCCTTCTCTTTTGCACTATGGGTCAGACTGTCATCGGACTTGCGTAGTAGTGGGAGGCTAGACCTGCAGAAGTTACCTTCTGCAACCTTAGCTAGCGACCAGAAAGCACGGGTCCCGGCAGGATAGCTCTTCAGTCGCTCGTCAATTCTGGAAACGTGCTTTTTAGTTGCTTGGCTTTTTAGTTCTGTCCTAAATTAAAACCGGTTTTTTAACATTTTTTTTAAAAGTGTAGTACAAATATCATTACGACTTAGTGGAATTAGTTGACTCTGAAAATTCCTTGTTTCTTAATTAAATTTCAGGCAAAAAGGGCTGAAGACTTTTACCAATCGCTTGGGCTGCCACCAATGACGGATGCGTTTTGGCGCGAATCGGTTTTGACGCGGGAAAAACACGCACACGCGCGTTGTCATGGCGCCGCAGCCGACATGTTTAAAGATGGCGATTTCAGGTCAGAAGTTACATAAACACTTTCACGGCCTAAGTCAATGTGGGAAAAATTAGATAAAACTATCTAAAATGGAATCTCCTTCAAACCGAAAGACATACCATACAGAATTATTCAGATTGGCTTCAATAAGTTCCTTCTTTACTGCTGGTTGGACCTACTTTAAATGTGCACCTACCTTCATCCTGCCTTTTTTGTCACGAAACAGTCACGTATTGCAATTTGAAAGAAGAAAGGCCTAGACTATACAAAACTTCAAGGCCTCATTGTATAAGGTGAAATGTCGCATTCATGCTGTGACGTCTATAGGTTCCAATTAGCGCTTAGTATCAAATGAGCCTGTCATTCACCAGTTTATGCAACTAATAAAGTAACACCCACTGGGTACTAGGTACATGTATTAGCTATCCACCAGGAAATTAATCATACAAATCCCATTTTAGACTGCTCTATTGCTCTGGAACTACAAAGGAAGATCTTTATGTACTACATCATGAACTTGGCCACATACAATATTATATGGCATACGAAGACCAGCCTGCTATATTCAGAGTAAGTGTTTTACGAAGTAAATGATGAAGAAAGTCCTAAAGCATCTGTCATTGATTAGGCAGTCCTGCTTCTGTTATTTCCGAAGTCCATCACTGAGATTACTCGCCATTAAACGGATTGCTCTGCCCACAAGCTTATAGTACTTAGTCTCGCTTGGGAAAAGTTCTCATTGAACTTATATTGCATAAATGAAAGCTCTGACCGTTATCCAAAGCAAAGACTCATGTTATTGAAGGATCTTCCTTTTATATTTGGAAACGATAATAACTTTTTCTATAGGCCCCAATGAATAAATATCACACAATTTGGTGAGGTTATTTTGTTAATATCGTATATCCATCAAAAATGGGTAAGTATACTGATTGCTAATATACCGAATGTCAAGAGCATGGAATGTGAATTAGTTGGAGAAATCGGTTAGGAAATATACTCGCAATGCGTATGAAAAGCGGTATTAGGTAAAATAATCCCCCACTCACACATTCAAACCTGATCGAAACTTGTCATTAAGAGCCTCGGCCGTTGTCTTTGTTGACGTCATAAGAAAGTACATAGAAAACAGAATTACTAAAATTTGTAGTTAATAAATATTCTATCGTCAATGGTAGAATTAATTAGTAATTAACAACAACCTTTTCCCTTTAGTTTTATGATTCTAAAGCAAATTCATTTAATACTTTAAAATGACGAAATGTGAAGTTTATAAAAAACGCATACATACGCCAGATACAGTTCAGTATTTTATGGTAATGGATTTCGATCCACAGCAAGCTAATACAGCGCTGCACGAGACAATAGGAGACTCTATAATGCTTGGTGCGTTTACACCGCAACATCTGCACAGGCTTGGTCTCATTACGGACCTTGAGCTTTATTCCAACGGACACAGCACAAGAGAAGACAACGACAATGTCAATGAACGTCACGACATCGAAGAGAACATTGATGAGATAAAAAATCACGGAACCAAAACAAAAGGGCTTACCAATGATACTGCTAGAACTGAAAATGCTAATAATAATGTTGATTACAATTCCAAAACAAATAATACTAGAAGTTTTGATAACAAACTCGGACTAGACGATGTACTTCTGTTCAAACAAGCCCTTATTAAAATCCCGCAAATAGCGTTCGCATTGGTTTTGGAGGAATATCGATGGAAGTATTTTGAGAATGGTCTGAGCAATTTGAATGGAGATTTTTGGGACATGGCCTTGGAATTGCAAGGAATCGTTCCACCAGTTTATAGAGGCGAAGACTATTTTGACGCCGGAGCTAAATTTCATGTGCCAGACAACACTCCTTATGCACGGTGAGTAAAATGAAGAAATATTCGCTAGAAATTTAATATTTATACTAGTTGACCCGGCAAACGGTGTTTCCCGAGCGCTATGACATGTCCTTCTTCAAACGAGGCTTGTGGAGAGTATTAAGCGGTAGGCAGCGGCTTGGCTCTGCCCCTGGCATTGCTGAAGTCCATGGGCGACGATAACCACTCACCATCAGGTGGGCCGTATGCTCGTCTGCCTACAAGTGCAATAAAAAAAAAAAACCTTGTTTTGCCATATTATTTCTAGGAAAGATAAATAACCTAGATACCGACTGCAGAGCCCTCTGCCGGGCTGATTTGAATGAATTAATCTAATCCATCCAGAGTGCCACCCAAACGCATACCAAAAAAATCATTCAAATCCGTCCAGCCGCTTAGGGGGAGTTCAGTGATAAACACACGCACAGAAGAAATATATATACATAAAAGATTTGTAGTTAGATAAGACCGGTCACACTTTGTTGTGACCTCTTCTGATATTACTGAGTCCCTATTACAATAGGATTTTGGTCACAACCTATTTGGCTTACATTATATATTGACTAATTTTGGGCAAAACCTTGTTTCGGTTTTGAAAACCAAAGTAGCTTATGTTACTCTTCATGATAGAAGATATGAGTTCCGTGAATAAGTCCAGCCGAACTAAGCCGATGAACAAAACCTTCATACGCAAATGTAAAACTATGTGTTTTTTTACACGATTTCCTCACGAAAGTCACTAGTCAACGCGTGTAAAGTTCGTTTTTAATTAGAAAAAAATTCACCTGCCACCGGGATTCGAACACTGACACAGTCGCATCGATCGACACGGGTGCACCGGGCGTCTTATCATTAAAGCCGCGATAACTTTTTGCGTGAATCACATACTAATACCCCAATTCAATACTTTCGCCACAGATACTTCTTGAGCAGCTTCCTCCAGCACCAAGTTTATGAGACGCTGTGCAAAGCGGCAGTCTTCGGTCGGCGTAATGTCGACGAGCCCCTACCTGGCACCATCAGAATGGACCGCTGCGACATTTACGGATCGAAGACCATTGGCAGGATATTACAGTAAGTTTCCTGAAACCTTCGATATTTTTTTCCTACCTACGCTGATAGCCTTGAGACGCTATTTCAGCGGGACCTTAACTAGTAGGTGAGCTCACGGGGCTCAAACCGGAGTGATGCTAACACTGGCCCTAGCAAGAGCAGTGCTTCGCAGAATCTACCACCGGATCGGAAACGCGACCCACTGAGAAGATCCGGCGAGAAACTCAGTGGGCTGTGTCTGTGGGTTAATTTACTCGTCGAGCCCTTCTTCGCAAGCGACGGGTTCGACGAGGACGGTGACCGGGCCTTCGATAATGACTAGGGTAGTAAAACAAAAAGAAGCCGTAATCGGGACGTTTGCCCAAATTCAATCCGAAGCTTATTCGAAAAAAAAAAAGTTTTGAACCGAAGCAAATCAATTAATTAAAGAGATTTCATTTAAGATTTTTCAGTCTAATTAAGACTACTTTTATAGTGTGTAATATAGCGTAATTTACTTTCAATGGCCCTTATATTATTTTCGACATGCGAATACTGTACAGTTTTCGTGTGCACAATCGTCTTCTTTAGTCTGGTCTCATAGTTTAATTTTGCTTCACCTTCTGTCCGTTAGGGGCCCTAATACCTTTTTTGTCTTACCTATGTGCTCTGTAACCTAAGGACGCTACTAACACTAGCTCTAGCAGCAGCTAGAGCAGTGCTTCGCAGAACCTACTGCCGGCTCGAAAATGCGTCCCACTGAGAAGATCCGGCGAGAAACTCAGTGGGCTTGGAAGATCATGAGTTATCCGTTTACGTGAATTTGAAAAGTGGCCACCCACGAAACGAGAACGAAAACTTGCTTTACTGCAGAAACAGCGAGTGTCACGACCCCAAGCTCATATCATATCCCTTCACCAGGGAAAACAGTTCGACGAAAATTTTCCACCATATATTTTCGGCAAATAGTAGGGCTAGCTTTGGGGTCCCACAGTTAGCCACCAGCCTGCCTAATTCTACCGTAAAGCAGTAATGCGTTCCTATAAAACTGGCTTTTAGAACTCATGGTCGGCGGCGGCATTTACGTTACCGATGTCTATGGGCTCTGATAACCATTAAAAAACAAAACTTGCTAATTTAAACGTTATCTCCGTCATTTTAGAGAAATAATGAAACCTGGTCACTCAAAACACTGGCGTGTCATCTTGAAGGCTGCGACGGGGATAGACGACATCTCTGGAGCAGCTCTGAAACGATACTACCGGCCGCTGTACAAGATATTAAACAAGATGGTTGCCCGATACCGGATTCCGATTGGCTGGTGAATCAAGCAATCAGAAAACGTTTTTAAGCGACCGTTACAATTTAAATTAAGAATTGAATTAAAATGTCTCTTTACCTTTTATTTAATTTATTTGAAAGCTTAGATTGGTCGTGTTATTGAGAGATAATAAAAATTTTGAACACATTTATATTCGTCATTTATTCTATATCCGTGTATCTTTTAAGCTTGTCTATTTTAAAATTAAAGTTTGTTACGAATTTTTTTCATAAATTATATATTCGTCATAATCTTTCAAAAACACTAATAATTTTGCCTACATATTCTAGTAACCTCCAAGGGTTATTCTAGATTCATCGAACTAGTGCGGACTAATATAATTTTGCCTTTTGGTTTAAAATATGTTTAAGTTTGTTATTAATAGGCTGCAAGTTTGACTCATGTCACAAACCGGCTACAACGTTGCGATGTCCATGGTCTCCGGTAACCAGTGCTTTTATCAGAATCAGCAATGGAAAACGAATTGATCACAGACTCTGAAACGTCACGCTTTGAGAATATCCCAATGAAGTAGGAAACCTATGGAAATGAAACGTCAACCAAAATTTCGTGCCACTGTGACGTCATCTGGCCACAAAACATGGCGGCTTTAGTGCTGTACAAAAGATTTCAATGTTATCAGGTTTTATCGATAAACGTTCTTGGCTCATTTTATTTTAAATATTGTTGAGTATTATTTATTTGTAGAATTTATACTTTAATGNAACACTGACAATGAAACACTGGATGTATTTTTTACAGTTAAGTTAGTTAGTAAGTTACGACTTTCCGAAGTCGTCGTGGCCTAACGAATAAGACGACCGGTTGTCAGTTTTGAGCGATGCACCGGTGTTCGAATCTCAGGCGGGTACCAATTTTTCTAATGAAATACGTACTCAACAAATGTTCACGATTGACTTCCACGGTGAAGGAATAACATCGTGTAATAAAAATCAAACCCGCAAAATTATAATTTGCATAATTACTGGTGGTAGGATCTTATGTGTCCGCGCGGTTGGGTACCAGCACTCTGCCTATTTCTGACGTGAAGCAGTAATGCGTTTCGGTTTGAAGGGTGGGGCAGCCGTTGTAACTATACTTGAGATCTTAGAACTTATATCCAAGGTGGGTGGCGCATTTACGTTGTGGATGTTTATGGGTTCCATTAACCACCTAACACCAGGTGGGCTGTGAGCTCGTTCATCCATCTAAGCAATAAAAAAAAACCTTCTCCAGATGATTTTATGATGATTTAATTTCCATCATAGTCACATATACCTGAAATTGTTGAAGATTGCGCGAATGTTGCGTGAATGTGGGGTCTTTGGGGCGCCTATATTCAGCAGTGGACGTCTATGGGCTGATGATAATGATGATGACGACGAGAACACCAAGCCATACCCATTAGTTCAACGACGCTTCAGAGCTAAACCGATTTCTGGTATGTATGTATGTACTGTATGGTATGTATCTGTGAGAGCCCATAGGGTTCGGTCCCAGAAATTGGTCTCTTACATCTTGCATTTTGGTTTAAAGTATGATTAAGATTGTTATCAATAGGCTGCAAGTTTGACTCATGTCGTAAAGTAAACTTTGTGATGTCCATGGTCTTCGGTAACCAGTGCTTTTATCAGAATCAGCAATGGAAAACTAATTGATCACAGACTCTGAAACGTCACGCTTTGAGAATATCCAAATGTTTCCGAATAGGGAAGGGGATAGCATGCGTTCGACGGTGCGTGTGTGAGCGAGACAGATAATTTGTCTGCAGTTCGAGAATACAGCGGGAGCTGTTTTTTTTTTATTACTTAAATGTGTGGACGAGCTCACAGCCCACTTGGTGTTAAGTGGTTACTGAAGCCCATAGACATCTACAATGTAAATGCGCCATTCACCTTGAGATATAAGTTCTAAGGTCTCAGTATAGTTACAACGGCTGCCCCACCCTTCAAACCGAAACGCATTACTGCTTCACGGCAGAAATAGGCGGGGTGATGGTACCTACCGGTGCGGACTCACAAGAGGTCCTATCACCAGTAAGTGGGTCATTCGTGTCGGTTAGCTGTACATTTTATTTGTAATACAATGCGCGTTCGAGTCGTGACGCTATTAACGCGGTCTTCAACTGACGGGTGTAAAAATAAAACAATTCTATAAAACAATAAATATGAATTTATTAAAATAAAAATTTCAAGTACTTAAATTTAATTATAAAAATACGAATAAAAAAAAACGGGGGGTAATAAATTAGAATTCTTAAATTAATTACGAGCTTTTTTTTTTGTTGTTTAAATAATTAATTTATTTACATTTTTTTTTTATTTTATTGGTAAAAGCTTATAAATAATGTTATGTGTATTCACAAATGTACGTATGAACTATTTACAAAATATGAGGGTACTTTAGTTTTTATAGAGTGTTCGTTATTCAATTTATCTCTCGATAGACTTTACGCTGGTGGTATTGTGGGGTACCACGTCTGAGTACCACCGTGCTGCCTATTTGTAGTTTAAAGGATTAAGTAATAATACAATGCTATTGTACTTTCGACCTCAAGTCGCATTATCGTGGTGATGTCTATGGGCCCAAGATACCACTTTAGGCCAGATGGTACATCGATTAAATAAATAAATAAATTGTAAGCTCAAAAGCCGTGAGGCCAGCAACGGACATGCTAGTTAATTGTTAGTAAACTTTTTGATAAACAATAAAAGTCTGGAATGTTCCTTTGAGTGGAACTCTACTGACTCAAATGTAACACAGAACGCGAGAGCTACGCCTCGTTCTGTCCCTTTCATGCACGGTACTCTGCAAATGCGTGCGAAAGAGACAGAACACGCCTTCTTAATTTCACGCGTCACGAGTATCCAAAATTCGACTGTTATAAATAATAGCACTTAATACTCGATGTGCGCGTCTAATCCTTAAGCTTTGTCTCGTTCACTCGTTATGAAAACTCGATAGGCGAAAACGGGACGGAAGATTCGAATACAAAACTTGAAGTACGTTTTTCTATACATTCCATTAGTTGCCGGTCATCCAGAACATGTTTTCTATCTCTCTCACACATACCTCAGATGTGTGAAGTCGAAAAGAAACATAGAATGATTTTGGGCAACGTATTTTAAAAGTTTGAGGGGTCTTTGCATATAGACTGCTATGATAAGGTAGTGGCGTGTGAGATCCAGTCGACGGTATGTGCGACCCGATGGTAGATCCCGGGCTGACCCCGACTGGCGCACGAGTAGCCCGCGGACACAACCCCGATGAGGTACCAGCGTCCCCCGCGTTCCAGCATCAGCGGCCCCCCGCTGTCCCCCTGACAGCTGTCCTTGCCTCCCCCCCGGTAACCGGCGCAGAGCATCTCCGGGTATATCACTACGTTTATACCTGGTAACAGAACGGAAATTTAAATGAAAATTAAACAAACATTACATAGCTCGTCTGAAGGAGCTTTGTCACATATGACGTCATTTGGGGCTAAACTTACGAAAATCTAACATTATATATAGCATTAATAATACACATTTTGTGATTGGTGTTTTTTTGACGATTTAATATTATACTTAAGATAATATTTCATTAAAAATGTGTTTGAGTCGTTTGTTTGGGTTAGGAGAAGCGCATCCGGCACTCAAATACAAATGCATTCTCAATATAAACTATTCAAAATTTCATTAATACATCAAATGGTCGGCTTAAAGCAGCACCCCGCCCCCATTTCCTCACCCGGGTGTCTTAAGGCGACTGGGCACGAGAATTAAAACAGCCGTCTCGTAGTTACAAGTCTGTTATGACCACAAACTGGATTCTTCAAGCGTCGCGACACGACAACCCTCTCATCGAAGTCGCCTAGTAATTAGCTTAGTAGTCACTGTCACCCTTAGCACGTCATTTCAAATCCTTCCGATCCACTACCAATGCTCCTAAACACTCCAAGCACCGGTCACCGTTCTCGTCAAACTCATCGAATGCGACAAAGACACGCGCAACTTGACCCACAAATATATCCCACTGAGTTTCTCGCCGGGTCTCAATGGGTCACAATTCCAATCTAAGCAAGTCTACCAGGCTTAAGCCCCGTGGAGCTCGCCTACACGTTCAGCGAAATCAGAATAGCCGAGGGCTAGATTACCAGTAATTAAAGGAGGAGTAATTAAAATTTGAGGAGGTAAATAGGATCTGGATTTATTGGTGGCCGGGAGTATTGTAAGTCCGTACAGGTGGGTCTATTCCTGGTCCTGGTATTCCTAGTCTAAATCAGAATTTGACATCGTATTTCAAAGTATGTGATGGCATTCAACCCGGTCCCGTACTGCCTTATAAATAAACAGACAGACCGTTTTCACTGTAGGATCCAATAACCAGATAATGTTGAACTATCCGTACATATAAGCAAACAAAAGTGTTAGAGAAACTTTAAAATAAAAACAAGCTCACCATTAGCTCTGTGCCATCTCTCGCAGACTCTATTGTCCAAAACCGGTACATCAACGGCCTGGAGCGTCCGAGGCCTGAGCCTGGAGCCAGGGCTGAGGGCACCCCAGCCTGCTGCCCAGCCGTACTGGCCGAGGAAATCTGATCCTCGTTCCGGAAGACAGATTGGGGCTGAAAAGAGCAAAGTTGTTTTATGTGACGGATAATACATTTTGATCACGTCATTCATAAATAATTGGATTAGAATAAAAAATCGTTTTCCTAATTTATCTAATTTATATATCAATAATTTTTGGCTGGCAGGAACTGGATGAGAGAAGCCGAGGATCGTGCTCAGTGGCGAACAATTAAAGAGGCCTATGTCCAGCAGTGGACTGCTATAGGCTGATGATGATGATCCAAAGTCCTATTGGGACTTATACATATAAATGAAACTGATTCCTGCGGCCTTTGGATGGAAAAGATTGAGAAGAGAGAAGAGCATATCGAAGCGTGGTTTCAAACATATCGAAACGTGTTTTCAAAGTCTTCTTGCAGTCATCTTCTATTTCAAAGGCCTTCAGCACAATATATCTCCCAAGTGCCGTTACTATCCCGCCATCCACCACCGCAACAAAGATCATCCATACTATTCGGAATCACCGCGTTCATCGACAGATGTTTCCACATAATTTCTGGGCTATGTACTATGCGTATCTGGAATGAACTCTCCACTTCGCTATTCCCCGAGCGCTATGACATTCCCTTCTTCAAAAGAGGTTTGAAGTGGACCCTAAGCAACAAGCAGCGGCTTGGCTGAATCCCTGGTACTGCTTAAGTCCAAGTGCGACAGACCCTAAACTCTGCCTACAAAGACAATAAAAAAAGAAAATTTTAATAGCCGTGGGTCAATTACAAAACCACATACAATGACGACAAACAAACAACAAGGAATGTTAATATTATTATAAAATAAACAGCATTTTAAAGATGCGGGCTAATTAACGAACGCTATTGCAATGAGCACGGTATGGAATAATCACGAATGTTAAGTGTGACACGGTTGCGCAATCTCGCATGACTGTCATACTTATTACCAACAATGATTTAAACCAGCGGATTATGTAAATATAAACAGCTGTTGCTGCAACTCAAAAGAACGTGCATATCATACAAGTGGCTAAAATTAAGATACTGAGGGGATTTGGGACGTAACCAAACTCGTAAATCCGCAATGAGTAAGTGCCGAGGGAGCCTCGTGACATGGCCGAGAAGAGGCAGGAGAGTCGGCTGAGATGGTATGGTCAGGTAAAAAGGAAGCCACCAGACTACGTCGGAAAATCGGCAATGCGGCTTGACCTCCCCAGTCCAAAACCTAGCGGAAGACTCAAGACGAAGTGGAAAGATGTAGTGGTGAAGGATAAGAGGGAACGTAATGTTTCTGGCGGTGTTATCGAAGATAGAGCGAAGTGGAGGAGAAAATTAGGGAAAACTGACCACCGCCATCTCGGAAGAGAGAGAAAGAGAGGACATCAATTTCGCTACACGAGTCAGGGGCAGACTGGGCCCTGGATACAGTTAAGGCTTCTTCGTCTGCAATCATGTTCTTGTTCAACGGAGCCGCGTCCTCTGTTTTGTCAAAAGCTCCATGATCTCTGAAGATTTCTTCTTCTTCTTTCTCTTATACCACAACTTGTGGGGTTGGTGCGACGTGTTCTCTCACTCTGCTGTATTCAAAATGGCTTAAGTTGTAACCCTCCTCGGATTATATCAACAGTGGAATATCCACTGCAACACGCCAAATGCAGGGAGCTTTTCCCGTTTCATCTTTCGATGATTCTTTTACTTAATCCGTCTTTGATTTTACGATTCCCATTGTATTATTATAAAAAATCGCTCCTAAAATTTAGATATTCAAATGCCAAAATGAGAAGGCATATCACATTTTATTCGTTCAAGGCGAAGTAGCTGATGGATCTTAAGATTAAGGATAAATGCGATCGATTTATGTATTTACTAGCAACCCGCCCTCGCTTCGCTTCGGAAACAGTAATTTGTTATTGATTTCTCAACGATTTAATGGATGTTATTATACATATAAACCTTCCTCTTCAATCACTCTATCTATTAAAAAAAACCGCATCAAAATCCGTTGCGTAGTTTTAAAGATTTAAGCATACATAGGGACAGAGAAAGCGACTTTGTTTTATACTATGTAGTGATGCCAAGTTCGTATGTTTGTTGAAGTGAGATAACAATTAGTACTTACATATATGGGGCATGTACTGCACGTTTCTGTCCAGGGTCAGAACCGCCACGTCGAATCTGTCGGCTTGCGGTGTGAACTTGAAGAGCGGGTGCACTTTTATGGCCCGCACTCCGAACGTGTAGGCGGGGAAGGGTTCCGACGCTGAGTTTATGACGTAGTCTCCAAGTGTGACCCTCACGTGGCGGGGCTGGGCTCTGGCCACACAGTGACCAGCCGTCACGACGTGACGACGTGAAATCAAAGAACCGCCACATCTGGAATTGAAAAGGTTGCTTGAAGTTTCCGATTTGCAACGGACCATAGAATATCGCAGATCAATCAAGACTTAAGTCTATAGGCGCAGGATAATTCAGGAGAAAATTATTGGAGGAGGCCTCGACCCTCAGCGTTGAGGATTATCGTCGCAAGGAAGCGGATAATTCTATACATAAGAAAACGAAATGGTCCCTTGGCTGAACTTGAATTTGTCTTGAAATTCGAATTTTAAATTATAAGACACTATACTAGTTTTACTTATCGATCAATGAGACGATGCCCGAATCAAAATCTCGTATGCAGACATTTTTTTCAAGGTAACAACTACTCTGCAAATTTACACTGAACAACTTCACGACGAAGGAATTATGGAATAACAATGCAAAGCTCACATTTTGGATACCGCACGGGCCTTACTGTCCAGTCTATTTCTGCCGCGAAGCTTTCAAACGTAGTTGTTTTGACAGAGACATAACCGCTGCCAGACTTTGACCAACTCTCAAGCCGTGTGGCAGTATTTACTGCTCCTACGAGCTACGGTAGGAATTTAGCGCCAGATGCACAACAAGGTTATCCAAACCTAAGAAGCGTTAGAGTTGCAGCCGGTAGTAAGCCTCACGCCAAATTCCTATAATCTGGGATAAGGCCAAAAAGAAGAAGCACTTTAAGGTCATTTACCCAACAAAAATATTTCATAGTTTTGGATATAGCCAAGAACGAAATAAAATGTTTTTTTTTATATATTTTTAATGCTTAGATGGGTGGACGAGCTCACAGCCTACCTGGTGTTAAGTGGTTACTGGAGCCCATAGACATATACAACGTAAATGCGCCACCCACCTTGAGATATAAGTTCTAAGGACTCACAAGAGGTCCTACTACTAAAACGTGATAGTAGAGAAATCAAATGCCCAAGAAACCGAACATTTCCACAGAGCTTGCGAGGCCACACGTCGTGCAAACGAGAAATTTAATAGATACAAACATTATGATTATTATGACATGCTGGTGAAACACAAAACAATGGTTATATTGCGTCTAACATCGCGTGGGCTCTCGCGTGTAAAGGGCCAAGATCGGAGACGCTTTCTAGGGTTCCGTGCTCACAGATATTGCATTATTTGAACTATTGACTAGCATTAGATCCCACAAAATTATTATTTTCAGGAAAAATATACGGAATAGTCGTTTTTCCGTAGCTCAATAATGCCTTCCCTTGTTTTTACCACGTCACCGAAGCAGAGTGTATCAGCAACTGACTATAGACCCTTTTTATTTACCCACAATGCGTTTCAAAGTTGTTTTTTTATTATTATTTGAAATCCCCTCCTCGTATTTTTCGTAGTACTAAGATAAATCGTCTTTAAAATAATCTTTATAAAAGAGCCCTTGGCTATCCGACTTGGCAGTCACCATGTCATTGCCGTTGTTAATGAGTGACTTTTTTAATTTAAATGCGTTGTCGGAATTTATCCTCCAACGAACCCGGTCATCTGGTATTAAAGGTGGCTGGAGCCCACATCAACACAAGATAAATCTCTGCACCATAGATAATTCAAGGTAGAAGCTGTATTTAAAAAAATATGGTATCTACCAAGTGGTACAAAAAAAAAAATTTAGTATATCAACATACATAATATATGCATGGGATGTTTATCACGGCATCTTTTGATATAAATGAAAAGGGCGGCTACTCATATACCGGCTAACGCTTCAGACACTCTTGCCAAATAGAACCAGATTGAACAAAATTTCGATACCATCAAAAATAATATTATTCTTTATTTTTTATCGACGGAACCCTTTTTTCTTTGATAACCAAACAGTTTTTTTTTTGGTTACGATAAAATAACAATCTTATAACAATAAGGTGCTGCTCCATATAATATACACGTATTTCCTTGACATGCTTATTTTAACGGTATATGTAAGTATTTCCTATGACCTTCTTTGATTAACTTAGTCGGACACTCTGGCCCGGCCGTGATAAGCGACGTACAGAAACAAAATTAAGGTTTAAAATTAAATCTCAGTAAATTTTTATATTTTCTAGAATTTCTGTAAATTAAACGGTTGTCTAGAAGAGATCGCTTTTAGCGATAAGACCTTTTTTTTATGATTGAAGGATTACTGGTGGCCCGGAGGCCTTTCCAGTTTCACCAGGACAGGTGGGCGAGCAAAGGTTCAGCCAGGAGGGGTGGGATTTGCTAACAGCTACCCGAGCGCCTCCGAAGGAGACCTAACAGCTCAAGAGCAGCTGCTTCGCGAATGAATCTACTACCGGATCGGAATCGCGACCCGCTGAGAAAATCCGGCGAGAAACTCAGCGAGCTGATTCATGGGTTAGGTTGCACGGCGAACTCTTTGTCGAGTTCGACGAGCATGGTTACCGGAGTCCCTAAGCCTGCTCCTATTGCTAGAGCTGAAGGCGTCTAGTGCAAAGGTTATTGGATCTGATGGATCCGTAAGGACGTATAGCGATAAGACCGCCTATTATAAAAAATTATCTGCTTTTTCTGATTGTTTCTTTAATGTAAATTGTGTTTTGGTGTGCAATAAAGTGTATTTTCTCTCTCTCTCTAAAGGCCGGCCGCTATGGAGTGCATGACGGCTTTGCAGTAGGAATAGATAAGTTGGACTTAACTTGATCTCTTCACTACTACTATACTCTATTACAATTACGAAGTCCCTTTTTGACACGTAGAACGTAACTCTACACGTTTCGCATAATTTGAAATATGTAATAATCTTTTTTTTTTTTGTTCATGGTCATAAAGATAATTTAAAATAAATAATCCTTTAAAAAAACTAACAAAATACGCTTTTATAGAGAAAATCCAACANTGGACTTAACTTGATCTCTTCACTACTACTATACTCTATTACAATTACGAAGTCCCTTTTTGACACGTAGAACGTAACTCTACACGTTTCGCATAATTTGAAATATGTAATAATCTTTTTTTTTTTTGTTCATGGTCATAAAGATAATTTAAAATAAATAATCCTTTAAAAAAACTAACAAAATACGCTTTTATAGAGAAAATCCAACAAAAAAATAGAAAATAAATTTTAAAAAGCGTGGGGTGCTTTTCAGGATATTATCAAAATAACCCTTCTACTCAGATCTGTTCATAAAATATTTATAACTACTGATACCATGCACCACACACTTTTTTACAATAAAATATTTTTTTCTTACACTATTTTTAATTCATATTTATTAAAATTTATTTTCTATTTTATAGTTGGATTTTCTATATGTATAGAAGCGTATTTTGTTAGTTTTTTTTTAAATTATTATTCATTTTTCATTTAATTCCAAATCTTTTATTTTTTTCCCATTTTTTATTTAAATAGAATTGTCATCGGTCCTTAATAAGTATACCAAATTTCGAGTTAATCCGACGCTTTGAATAGGGTCAAAATCATGTTCAAAGATTCCATTACAAACATACATACGTCTAAAACTAATAAAAGCGTATTAAAATACACAATCAATCGTAAATAATTGAATATGCAATTTCTAATAGGGCACATCTCTGAAAATGTAAAATGTTCAGGATATGAAAAAAAAAACTGATTATTTTCTAAAGCAGTGTAAAATTTAAAATATTAACTTTTGAGATATATTTTAGTGTTAATTAGCAATTGAAAATTACTGGAATTATTATAAAATGGGTGTAGGTAAGCCTCAAAACTACATGTATATGGAAAAACGTATTTGACAAAATATGCGACATGTGCCCTTTTCGAAATAGTATATTCAATTATACAATTAATTCACACATACACACAATAATATAATAATAACATCTGTCTCATGGGACTTTGTAATTGGAATAGAGTATAATCTTTCTATTATTACTAGTTACTCCTTCGTCGTGTAAGTCATAGTGTTTTTTGAGTATTTAGCGCCAGCCCAGCCAGAAGTGGTGGGATTTGCCTAACAACTGCCCGGGCGTTTCCTGCCTATTTCTGCCGTGAAGCAGTTAGGGCAGCCGTTGTAACTATACTCAGATCTTAGAACTTATATCTCAAGGTGGGTGGCGCATTTGCGTTGTAGATGTCTATGGGCTCCAGTAACCACTTAACACCAGGTGGGCTGTGAGCTCGTCCACCCATTTAAGCAATAAAAAATAAACTTAATAATTGAGGAGAAGCTGCTTCGTCAATGCGCTCACTACTGGATCGAAATGGCCACCCGCTGAGAAGATCCGGCGAGAAACACAGCGGCCTGATGTTACGGGTGACCTTAGTCTTTATGAGTCGCGGTATTTCATGAAAGAACACGGAGCGACTCACACCGGACGACCTCCCAGACCATGCCAGACTTCCGAACGTCTCCAAAACTTGTGTTATTATTGTTATAGTCCTAGGGTACCTCGCTGGTACGTAGGGCCCTCACAAGTTGTCTCTTCTAGACCTTTTAGACCTTTTTTACTGGTGGTAGGACGTCTTGTGAGTCCGCACGGGTAGGTACCACCGTCCTGCCTATTTCTGCCGTGAAGCAGTAATGCGTTTCGGTTTGAAGGGTGGGGCAGTCGTTGTACTGTAAAAACGGAGACCTTAGAACTATTATCTCAAGGTAGGTGGTGGCATTTGGGTTTTAGATGTCTATGGGATACGGTGACCATTTCACGTCACAGTTGGGCTGTGAGCTCGTCCACCCGTCTAAGCACTAAAAATAAAATAAAAAAGAAACTTAAATAACATTATTTTGTTAATAAAACTTACCGTTCTCTGGATCGATCAAAAATTATTTATGTTAATTTTGTTAATCAAATCTGAATAATATGAATAAGAGGAATGTGCGAAAAAGTTTAAAATAAAATGAGAAAAATATTAAATATACAAGTTGAAGGAATAGAAAGAAATATTGTTTGTTGTATGTATAAACAGACACGAAGATTTAACGCGAAAAGTGTATAATATATATATATATATATATAGAGTCGATTTTGTACAATATTAAACTCTATACAATATATATCAAGGG